CCGAGGGGTCAACCGTGGGCTGATTATCAGTTTCCCTTCCTGCGAAACAGAAGCAAAATGGTCGCCAACTGCCCAGGTCGGCAGAAACCAGAACGGGCCTTTCCTCTGCCAATCCGCAATGATGATCAGTCTAATCTGAAGGATAATGATCCCTTCCAATTCTTCTGAGTGGGTACTCTCGTCTCTGAAAAGTTTCTGATTTCGAGCCTGCCATATTGCCTTCATGATAACACTTCTGCACACTAGCGCTATATATCCCCAACCGACTTCAAGAGGCTTGGTGGCATCCGGGCAACCAGACCGGATCGTCGAGTCAGTCCAAGGAAAGTCTGAGTTTCCAAGCGTGGGCCAGCACTTCCGCCACCATTGCCATATGATGAGGGAATGTGGGCAGGCTACCCACAAATGGTCAGTAGTCTCCCATGCCCAACCTCATCTGGGGCATAGCAGCGAGACTACCATGCCCTTTGAGGCAAGCCAGGCTGCAGACAAGACGGCCTGCATGGATTGGAGCCATAGCAACCTCATCTGTCTCCAAAATTTTAACAATTTGGCTCAAAATTCTAACAATTTGGCTTCTGTGACTCCATCTGCCGGGAGGTCTTCCCATCTCTTTAGGGCAGTGACAACGGGGGTTTTAATCACTTGTTTCAGCTGGATGGCTCTACCTAACTTGGAGTTGTACTGACTTAAGGGGGTGAAGTCTCCTGTCTTGACCACATCAGGCCAACAATACAACAAAGGTTCAACTTTTAAGGAGGAAGCTGGCAGCCCTCCTGTAAAGGTTTCCTTTTCGTCGGATCCTACCGAGACCCGAACCCTTACCTCCTCAAGGTCCTCGACAGTGACGACCACCTCTTCTCCCTTGCAGACCAGGCGGTCTTCAGTCTTGGAATTGGCTGGGCGCATCCAAATCTGTACTTTAGTGCCTGCTGGGGTCGGGGGGCCCCAGCACTTGCCAAAAGGTGGCAGGCCCAGAAGGGGCTATGAACAATATAGATCCGGGGGAGCTTCCTTCGTAACATGTAATCGCCAGCCAATCCTTTGCTACATCATCCCAGACATCCTTGAGGCAGTGTGACGAACTAGCTTCTGTAATGCGCGACTTTCTGCGCGAAGTGCTAAGCGGGGTCCCACGTCGATTGGACGGGTTGATGGAAAATTGCATGTGTGTCCTTGCTTTCTTCGTTGTTTCTTCGTTCGCACACGAGCCCCTGATGACAGTTGGGGACAATTCGGGAATGCACGGGGAAAAGGGGGTGAAACTTGGTCGGATGGATGCGGAGTGCGCGCCGAGTGCGCGATTCATAAACGTTGACGTCCCTTCTTTTCTTTCGTTTCCCTTCGTTTAATTTTGTTTTGTCGAACTTTTGGGCGCGCAGACATCGCGCGGGAATTTCGGTGTCTCTTTTTGAATTTCCTTCTTGAATTTTCGTTTCGAATCTTGGTCGGAGCCATACGGCCTTCGGAAATTTGATTTTCTTTTTCGGACCTTTTCATCGGCAGGCTAGCTAGGAATTTAGGAATTTTTTAATTTCTGTTTTTCTGGGGCGCTGCTTTGCGTGTTCGCGCGCTCATTCTTGCTGCTGCGCCAGGACCTTGATTGATTGGCGCCTTAATCCTTTTGCAACTGTAATTCTGGGCGCACACTTTTGTAACTGTATCTTTCTGTTTCTTGCTTCTTATTCTTCCCGCCTCGTTTCTTCCTCTCTCCCCTCCCTAGCTGGGTAGCTGCGTTTGCATGTTCGGATCGATGCGTGGAGTTGGGTACGTCCCCCACGCCGCGGCCTGACCGTGCAAACGTAAGCACTCCCTTTCTCCCATCTATCTACGTCCTTGTAATTCCGTGTTCTTCGCGCATGCATGCACGCTATAAATTTCGGCTGCGCGATTAACCTTCTCTCTTAACAGTTGCTGGAAGCTCGGGGTTGCGCGATCGAGAGGGTC